CATGATCGAGAATCCCCTCTTAAAAACAAATCTAATGACAACTGTGTCTGATATGAAGAAGAAATGGCATCATCATTTATTGATTTTTTTTTTTTTTTTTTTTTTAAAGTCGTGTTCTGAAGTTATGACAAATGCCAGGTGGATCTGTACACAGACAGGGCCTCTGTGATGCATGCCAGATTTTATGGCCAAGAAATTCGCCATGCAGTTGAACCGGATTGTGGTTCCTCGGTCGGAGTCGTACATTCTGTTTGCAGTGTGTAAACATTCTCCAGCTGCTTTCCTAAAGAACGCAAAGAAGATATGTAGAGAGATTTAGCCTTGGGACCCAGTTGCATTTCCAGGCAGGCAGTACCAAGGAGCAGAAGTCCTGTCTCCGGGCCAAAAGACTTGGTCAGACTGTGCCAGAGGCGAAGGAAAATGACGTCAGTGCGCCAGATACAATATCTGAGTGTGGAGTCACATGCTATCGTGTTAAAAGGAGATATACAAAATCATCTGTGCTTCCAGCTCCAATTCCTGTCCGGAGAAGAAGCAGCCCAAGTCCTGTAGTGTCGCTGACACCGGTTTTCACACACGGCGTTGTGCCTGGACTCCTTGCCTTAAACCCCCGCGTCTTGCAGAGCTGGTCACACCGTCTTCTGCAGGCGATGGTCCGAGAGCTTCTGCCTCGTGCCCCGGCAGCCATTTACCCCAAACGTTGAGTAAATGTCAGCCCCCAGCCTCCTCCAGCGACCCCCACCTCAGACCTCCTCGCAACTCCGGGCAGGGGCGACGTGAGGCAAGCCAGAGGTAGGGTGGCTACCGGCAAGCCCCACGCTGATGCCAGCCCAGTGGTACCCTCGCCAAAGCAAGAGCTCCCAGCCCTGCCAGCCCACTCCGGTTTAGGAGCTGGGAGCAGGAGGAGTTCTCACCTTGGGACCCTGCCTGGAACCCACCTCTGGGTCTGCTGTGGTAGCTCCCTTCCTCCTTTTAGCACAGAGGGCATCAATGCGTACTTTAAACCTGCTTTCTGGAGATTTGCAGCTCCAAAAATGAAAGGGGTAATGTTCCTCCTTAGAACCCGGAGCACGGTGCAAGGCCGGCTGTAGAGGTTGGTGGCCAAGTCTGCCTCAAGCTTTGCAGAAATCCAGGAGGGCTTCAAGCCCCCAGTCATCGAGGGACTGAGCTGCAGGGAGCACACGGTGACTTTGAAGAAGACAAGATTCACTAGAGAAGATAAATTAGGAACGAGGGGACAGGAGATTTATGGTGTGTACAAAACACTGTCGTTTCATGGGATCCTGGCTGTGCTCGGGACCATGGCTCACCACAGCCTGCAGACAGGACTCTTCTCTGGTCTCACCAAGATACCAACCCCAGCTCTCATAAAGATGTTGCCAACCTGTCTTAACGTCAGCTGGCTCTGCAGCTGACCACCAGCATGGTCCCAGCCCACGGTCCCAGCCCTCGGAGTGCAACAACAGGCTGAGGAAGAGCAAAACAGCCATTCATGGATCTACAGGGGATTTTGGGAGCCCATGGGCACCCACCCAGTATCAGTGGTACGGGCACGCACCGCAGGAGGAAAGGGCCTGAGCCCTGATTCCATCAAACATATGGAATCAACGGTGGTTGCAAACTCCCAGGTGGTCCCCATGTGCTTTGTGAAACCAGCCTAGCAATGCCAGAGCATGGGCACGTTTCAGTTAAGCCAGAAGGAACTTATTTGAGACCAAACTCGTTATGTCCACAGCAGGACTTCTACTGCGTTCACAAGACTAATTGAACGGCAGTTGATTGACGTAGTTGATTGCAAGGCCTTAGGTGGGCATCGGTGTCTGTGCACGTGGGATAGTGGTGCGATCATGCCGTGGGTGAGTAAACTATACAGAGTAAAGAAAGAAGTGTGCTAAGGGACCATCGAGCTGCTGCTGGAGCTGGTCAGGCCATCAATAGATACTTAGCCACCTTCTTACAGAGGATCTACACTGGGAAAAGACCTCTGTGTTGGAAAGGAGAAACATCAAAGATTTTCTTGCTCCGACACAACTTGCTTGGGATCGAAGCGTTTCACCAGCAAACAAACCACGCTTGTGTTAGCCAAGGGCAGCCACGTGAGCAGGGACTCTCCAGACCATGATCCATGCCACACACAAAGACGTGTGGCAGCCTACCAGCTATTACAGCTCCGATGGCAAGCGCTGATGGCTGCCCACCACCCAAGCTGGGGGGGGGGTTTTGCCCCTGACTCACGCTCTGGCAAAAGTGGAGCCTCACAACCTCACACGTGGTACCCTGCTCCTCCATCCACGGCCACTGCACACAGCGGTCGGTCCTGCTCACACCAGAAGTCACAGAGCATCAGGGCACTTCTTTGAAGGTAGCAGGATCCTCTCCAACCTTTAGCCACTATATATAATGGGCATTACTTATATTATATCATTATAATAATATATATATTATAATATTCTTTACCTACAAAGGGCAAGCAAAGTCTCCTGCCTCTCAGAGATTCCAAGCACACTGACTCAGAGGTGTCTGCTACCGAAACACCTTTTGCACCAAGAAAAGCAGAAGCGTTTGTGCTGCCAACCAGACAAACCAAGTTGAGCAGCCCCATCCATGTGTCCAAGCCACTCCGCGGCATTACTCCGACTGGTGCCAGCAGTCCTTTTGCTTCCTCTGCTCATACAACCTGTCATCACCCCAGCTTAGCACTGAGAGCTTTCAGATCCGCCTCTTGGCACGTTCCAAGCCCTGTATCACTGTTTCTTTGCAAACATCTCCTGGCCAGACGGCAGCCACCAACTCATTTTTACCAGCCAGCGTGCCACCTTCTCCGCTGGCAGGTAAGAAAACAGGTGGGACCTTGGCAGACCCCAGCAAAGCGAAGGCTCTCAGCGGAGCGTTTGCTGTATCTCATGACACCAGGCTGGCCGAAAAGACACTAATTCTCCCAACACACACGGGACCTCACAACGCTCCCCTGAACAAGTCCTAGCCCTTCCTACCACCCGCGCACCTGCACGCACAGACGTAGGCACGGTGGCAGCCTGTCCCAGGTGTCCCTCCAAAACACACATGGGGCACAACCACCCGCAGCTGGCCAGGACAGACCCTGCAGCAAACATACCGACGGCGAACTACGTGGTGTCACGTTCTTCCTCGAAATTCTCACAAACATGGAAAAGCGCTGAGAAACCCGCTTCTCCTCCCCTGACCCCAAACAGTTTTCTCTACTCTTCCTAGCCATTTCCTCTGCTCTGGTCAGCTGGATCTTCTTTTTGATCTTCTCTTCTTTGCAGTGAAGCAAGAAGGCAGCTGCACACCACCAGCAGTGTTTGAGCAGCCCTGCGTGTCCTTGAGGCTTGACAGAGCTTGCACACCGTGTTTCATAGCAGAGAACAGCAGGGCCTTGCCTCCCCTGCCTTTCTGGGATGTGGCAGCCCACGATGTCCTGCGATGCCAGACTGGATCATCTGGCATCCCTCAACCACCTAACTTCTCCCTAACACCACAGACCTGAGTCACCATCCCTGGATGTGTTTAAGAGCCGTTTAGATGTGGTGTTGGGGAATATGGTGTAGGGGAGAACTTTGTAGAGTAGGGTAGATGGTTGGACTCGATGATCCCAAGGGTCTCTTCCAAACTAGACGATTCTATGATCCTATGACCTCATCCCCTCCTGCCCCCAAACATGATCTCCTGTGTTTGCTCCAACTATGGCAGGTGCCCTTTGGCATGGAGGAAGAAGAGAGGACACAGAGGAGTCATCAACACTTCTGCGGGGCTGTTTTTGCAGTAACATTCATGGAGAGCATCACTGCTGGTCCACCTGCCTGCCATAAAATCTCTCCAGAGAGAAACCCAAGAAGAACTTCTGCAATCAGGGTGTGCTGATGGGAGGACCCTGGGGTCACACTCACCACTGAGCAACTGAAGGGCAGAACCTTGAAAATCAGAGCCAGGGAGGAGATCCAGAGCAGCATCCCACATAGCAGGGGATTTCTTGAGTCCGTCTGCTGACACTTGAAAGAGGGATCAAGCCGTCACCTCCTGCAGCATGTGGGCTGCTAGCAGGGGGCTTACAAGCATGCCTGGGCCAGGTAGCACCCTGTGACCAGCTCTGCCAGCAAAATATGGCTCTGTGGGCTACCTCTTGTCAGTAAATTCTTGATATCCACTTAAACTGGAAAAGCCCAGCACCAAAGCTCCTGTAAAAATAACTTCAGGGAAGGAATGAAAGAGGCAACGTGACCACATCCAGCCAGGATCACAGCATCTCTCGCCACAGGGAAGGGGAGCAGGTCTAGAGACCCAATCCTGGGGGATAGATGGGGACAATCGGGTTTCGTAGGAATGACCCTTGGAAACCTCTCAGCTCCTGCGCAGGCTCTCCAGGGAGAAAAGCACTGCTCAACCATCTCTCACTGCCATCGCACCTGATGGGGCAGCCCTTTCTCATCCAAAATGACCAGAGGGAGCACCATGCCCACTCTCCTGCTCCCCTCCGTGACAGAGAGAGCCGGGAAGCAGGACTGTGCTGGGGCAGGGAGGCTGGTAGCACAACCACATGGAGAGATGACCTCTGCCAGCCCCAGACCTCTGTGGACCTGGCTGCACCCTCAGCCCAGCCCCATCAAACAACACTTGGGAATGGCTATTATTTTCTATGCTGGAAATCTCTCACTGGCTTTCTGAAAGCTGCAGGACCTGCCTGGTGGTTCTCCAACATGTGACAGCTTTGGTATGTGTTCAGCAGCACACCAGGAATCTACTGCACTACAAAGAGAGATGATAACTTGGTGTCACCAGCATCCTGACTGCTACCTGTGGTTGGGTCGTGGTAGGAAGACGTCTTAGAAGACAGCTGGGCTTCTCAGAAAACCTTTTCCTAAGAAAAAGTCTCCACATTTTTGTGAAAGATTGCACTGGACAGTTGGCTTCGCAACTAAAAGCCTGCCTGATTTCTTCATCTGCCATTCTTGGTTAATCCATCTTCCCTGCTTTAAGCCTGCCTGATTTCTTCATCTGCCATTCTCGGTTAATCCATCTTCCCTGCTTTCATGGGCCAGAGCTTCCTTCCTGACATGGGTATAGCTGGAGCATGGAAAGCTCTTCTTTAAACTTTCTCTTGAACAAATACGTTGATTGTGCTTTATTGGCCTCCCGCGATAAGGCAGGTTTGCTAACCCTGTTAATAGTCCTGTAGCCCTCTTTCCAAGTTCTTCTAATGTCATTTTTTGGCATGTGTATCTAAGACCTGGATGAAGCATCTGGTTAAGTCTTCTTAAGACTGTCATCTGTTAAACTCACATGAAGTTATACTGCCACCAGAAGAACTGTTCACACTTTCTGTCCTCTCCTTCCGCCACCTCTGTTGTGTGACCACATGCTGAACCAGACTGATGAACTGAACCAGATGAAAACCAAACCAGCAAACCAGAACACTCGGTGTCATGCTGGATCAGCATTTCCAGCCCCTTCACCCCCCAGTCTAAGGGGGTGGGAAAGTGCAATGAAGCAGCCTGAACTTTGAGGGACCACTGCTTTTGGTGGCAACATCAGCTCAGTCCATCAAACCACAACCTGACCCTGGAGTCCCCAGTGCTTCTCTGGAAAGCATTGAGGGCATGTTTTTAGACCAGAAGCTGTGCTCCTTACTCTACCAGGGTGAACAACATCAGTCAAAAACAGCAAACGCTTTGAGCTAGATGAAATAAATTCCTAGCGTTGGCAACACTGAGGCTGTCATATAAAGAGGTAATTCCTGTCACCTGTCTTTTCAGATGTTTCCCTGTTCAGATCAGGCACTGGAACAGGTTGCTCAGAGAAGCTGTGGCTGCAGCTGTGGCTGCCCCATTCCCTGGAGGCAGGCTGGCCAGGCTGGATGGGGCTTGGAGCAACCTGGTCTGGTGGGAGGTGTCCCTGCCCAGGGCAGGGGGGTTGGAACTCCATGATCTTTAAGGTCCTTTCCAACCCAAACCATTCCATGATTCTATGTCTATGTTTTCTCAGTCACCCTGTCACAGCTCTCATGCTCTTTTCCAGAATAGGTGTGAACAACTTCAGGATTCCTCGGACTCGATGCCCATCGGTGTGACTGTAGCTATTTTCAAATGAATCAAGGTCATTACTATTAGTGTCCAGATTCCTCTACCAAGCTTTGTTGTCTGCAAACAGGAAATACTGGCAGGTAGTTGCAGCTGTGGGAACGGGTGTACAGAGCAGCCGCATTTTCGTTCTGCCTCGTGCAAAACTTCTTTTAGGCACCACGATGATGTGAAGCCTGAAGTATTCGTGTCTGGAGTGTTTCCCCTTGTGAGGTGTGGGGAAAAATTTGTGACTACTTCAAGATCTCCTCAAGCTCGGACAGGTAGCGGTCTTCCTGGCTTTCATTTTCAAACCTTCCTAATTAGTCTGGGCGCTAAAAAGTTGGTTGATTTAGTCCTAGCTGAGCGCTAAGCTTCTGCTCTGATAATATTACTCGAAGAGCACAGCCCTTGCTTTTACGGTCACGTTGTTAAGTTCTCAAGCAACACATGGAAGAGCTGAGCACCAAGAAAAGAGAAAGACATAAACTCCACCTCCGCTACTCAACCCACTCTGCTCTCGCATCGAAATGCACAAGGTGCCCACGGTGTGCCAGCAAACCTCTCGTCGCAAAGCAGCAGCTTTGGATTATACTACAGGATAATAATTTCCAACCCTGCCGTGAAGGGGAACTTTCAACCACAGTGCCAAAATTCACAAACACCAAGAGCGTGACAATAAAGCACAAGGAGGTTAGGTGCAAGGGGCACCCAAGCTAAAGGCATCCAGTGACTATTCACATCTTCAGGGTGGAGCTGTGTTTGGTGGACTACAGGTCTGTGGCACCAGCCACACTCGGGTCAAGAGGAACCACCCACGTTGGGAGATGTGGTCTCCACAGATCACAGTTTGGTATTTGAGACAGAAGCGGCTGCAGTGTGCTCCCTTCCACATCAATTAGCAAGTGCTCTTGATTTCCCAGCAAGCTGCCAACACACCCCTACTTCCATCTAAATACCCACCATGCAGGCATCTGCTGCAACAGCAGCAGCGTTGCCGAGCAGCAATGCCAGACGGCCTCCTCTGTGGGACATAACTGGAACAGGTAGGAGCATCCAGCAAGACCTCCTACCTGCAGAGGCATCTCTGGAAAAGAGAGAAGAGCCCCCTCCACCCTGCCCCTGCTCTTATCTCAGCGCACAAGGAGGCATCCATCCCTCATGGCTAAGCTGGTGACCATCCCTTGCTAAGACGGGTGGCAGGAGGTGAGCCAACACTCAGGTAGATGGTGGTGGCCAAGGCTGGCGTTTTCCCAGCGAGGAGAGAGGAGGGACAGGAGCCTTCCTCTCCGGCAGGCCTTGCTCTCCTCGCTCCTGCTCCTCTTTCCAAAGCCAGGGTGAGTGGTGGCGACTGGTATTGCTAAGAGAGAGGGGGGAATGCCTGGGGAGGGAGGAGGGTCAGGCACTAGGCAGGCTGCCTGGGTCGCTGCTGCTTGGTGCTGTGCGTTAGCAAGCGTGAGCTGCGGGCTGGATGTCTCCCTTGAAGAAGGCTCCATGGCTCAGAGGCTCTCAGGCCCGTGGGAGCTGATCGCGTCAGTGTGGGGTGAGAGTGAGTGAAGCATTGAAGTACAGCTACTGCTATACACTCGTGGGTCCAGCATGGAAGGCTGTGCTGCAGCATCTCAAGTGTATACTATATGCAGAAGTTACCCAGTCTGTTGGGCTGGCAGAAGAAGATCATTATCTGGCAGCTGCCTTACTTTCCAGGGACACCTGCTTTCCTTTGGTTGCTGGACTCTGAGTCTGGGTTTTTCCTCTTTGTCGTTTTTTGGCCACATCAGGAGAGGGCAGGGAATCTCCTGTTGGCCCCAGGGCCTGAGCTGGAGGCTGAGGTCGGGGGGAAGGAGGAACTCGCTGAAGAGCAGTCCCTGGCTTATGCTGTCGGCAGGGAGAAGGACTTTCCCTCCGAGGTGGCAGCTGGCTTCTGGGGGAAGCACTGGGGTTTCTTGAAGGAAGGACAGGGCTCCGAGGGGATACACAGCTGGACCTCCGCGAGCTGCTCCGTGGAGGAAGAGAAGTGGAGCTCGGCGAAGGAGGAAGCCGACTTTGTATCTGCGTCGTTCGGCACTCGTTCGGGACACTGCCAGCTGGTCTCTGTGCCTGAAGCCTGCAGGGGAAGAGAAGAGGGAGGATGAAGGAGAATCTCTGCAAGGGGCTCCAGGCTCCTGGCAGGTCTGGCGTGAACGTGGCTGGGCAATTACAAGGAGTCTCCAGCACCAGGTCGACAGGAGCTATGCTGTGAACAAGATGGGGCACCGGTTTGAACACCATCCTGTAACTCTTAATGCTATTAACTAGTAAGTGTTGGCCCTCATCCTCCAGCACTGTCCGGGGGACAACCCACAGGCACGATTTGGCTGATAGCACAAATCTGGGATTCTTCTTAATGTACAGCATGGGTGCAGCAGCCTATTTAAAGGCAGGAGATACAATCTGGGAGGATGGGCATGAGCTGGATTGCACCAGTTGGCCTCTGACAGTAACTGTGCTGGAAGATAAACCAACCCGCAGGGATCCCGTCCCTTTACCGCATGCCTCTGAGAGAGCAGAATTTGCTGGGCCTGTAGCAGAGCCACAGCAGCAGCTCTGCTCCTTGGCTGGACCTCCAGCCCCAAGGCCAGGCAGAAAAGCCAAACACTGCTGAATTCAGAAGGTCCACCTCTACTTACATCTCTGTGCTTATTTGATAGAGGGCCGGGTACCTCCCCAAAAAATCAAGGCACAGGGATGTGTCAAGAATTCAGACCGTGTGGAGGTGGCCCACGTGGTTCCAGGTCACTGCCAAAGCCCATGCGTGGGCACCTCCCTCTCTTCAGCTCTTTGCATGCTGGCCATCTTCTGAGGCAATCACAACTGGCAGCCTCACAGCCCTTGCAGCTCTAATCGCAACAGGATCTCCCTGCAGAGTCATGGCTGAGCTGAGTACGCTGCAAATTGAGAGCTCAACACCAGAACCATCTGCTATTAGCAGGACCAGACCAAGCGAAAGAGCTCATGGGAGGCAAAAAGGCCTCAAAGCCAGGGCAAGAGAAGAGGGGCTTGGCACTTTGGCCACACTGAGCCAGAGAAGACAGAGAGGTGGGAATTTCACACTCCGGTGAACTGAAATGACTGTAGGAAAGAGGGGTGGATCGTGCACTGAAGCCAAGTGAAAGGTGGGAGGTGAGCAAAGCCCTGAATGATCCTCCTTAACAAGTCCAACATCGTGCACTGCTCACCGTTTTGGTCTTACCTGTGGGCAACGGCCGCCTCCTGCGGGGAGCTACACAGCACTGCCATCCCAATGGCCGCGGAGCTCTCAGACTTTGCCATCTCTAGGGGTATTTTCACCGGTGTGATGGGCCGAGGAATTCTGCTCCTTGTGCTTATGGCTCTCTCTTCTTTCCCCAGGAGGGCAGCTTTCTCCTTCCCTGCCTTCCTCGGGATGGAGTCATCAGAGTCGTGGGTGTCCTCCTCAGAACCGGTAGCCGACAGGGTTTCTGAGGCCCGCCGCCTCTCATCACTGGAGGACGCCGAGGAGGAGGCCCCTGAGGCCAGCCGAAGGAGGCGGTTTTGCCTCTTCTCCATCACTAAGCGAGCCAAGTCGGGATGCTTTGCCCTCTTATAAAGCCTCTCTTTGGCCGAGAGAGAAGTTGAAAGGTCTGAGCCGGTGTCCTCCTCAGAGAACAAAATGGGTATCCGACTTCTGTACCTGGAGCCCAGAGGTCTTCTGGGGCCCTGCTGCGGTGCATCCAGGAGGGGCTCTGCTCGCTTCAGGTGTTCTCCCACCGATGCTGACTTCTCAAGCTCGGGCTCCCTCATGACCACCTTGCCAGGCTCTTCCAAATCCAGTGAGAGTGCCACTTTGTCGGAGAGCTCTGGCTTGTCCTCGGGAGGTTTTGCTACACCGTTGGGAAGGGCCAGCTGCTCCCCCGCCGCCTCCGAGGTGGTTTCGACGTGATTAGCTGAAAGGGCGCAGCTCTCCGTCTCTGCCCCCTCTAGCCCTGAATGTATGCTCCCATTTTCTACCAGCACCAGGTTGTCCTCCAGCTCTTCTTCGATAATGACCTCTTCAAACTGGCCCGGAGGGCAGTACTCCTCATGCCTCATCATCTGGCCGCTGGAAGACATGACATTTAAGTGGGTCTTTTCAGCAATATGAACAAATGTGCGCTCGACTTTGGTAAAGGGGGAGGAGGCTGTAGCCACGGCCACGGGAGGCTTTGGTTCAGATTTAAGGACTGAGGAGAGGGTCCCTGGCTCGGATACATCCAGTTGGCTACCCATCGGCTGTGGCCGCTCGCTCTGAGGTGTCAGTGCAGCAAGAGTGCCCAGATCAACTTCTGGAGCCAAGTCTGTGGTCACCGGGGACTTCTTCAGATCACCCGGTGAAAACAGCACTAGTGTTTTTGAGCCTTCCTCCAGCTCCAGGTCCCCGTCAGCAGTGGACGCTCGACCTTTGGATCCCTTCTGGTCATCAGCCAAGAGCGTGGATGGTGCACACTCCTGGCTGCGCTCTGTGCTTTTTTGACTCAGGTCACTGCTGGAACCACTGTGCATGTCGATCTCGTCCCCTTCCTCCTCCACCTCCTCCTCTTCGTCTTCTTCCTCCTCATCTTCTTCCTCGTCTTCTTCCTCCTCCTCTTTTCCATTCATTTCTAGGTAAGGTTCCGGAGGTTTGCAAGGAGCAGTCAAGACAACATTTGAAAAATCAACTTTCTTTATCCGCTGGGATACCTTAGGCTTTTCCCAGTAGTCTGACACATCTTTTCTGAAGTCTTGATAAGGCAAACTTAAAGGCACCGCCTTGGGCAGACCATTCATTTCAAATGACTTCAGCATGTATGCCTGCAAGAAGACAGATGTGACAAAAGAAAAGGTCAGTATTCAGACATAGCATGGACACAGAAGACATCAGGACCAATAGCCTTGGGATGTATCAGTGGAAAGCATCTGGTCCATCACGCTTCCAAAATACCTGCCTGAGCAGCAATCACTTGATCATTCAATTTGTACAAACCTTAGAAAGGAGAGATTCACAGAGACATATTAATGAAGGCAAAAAAAATGAGTTTGCCAAAAGAGTTCCTTTGTTAGCAGTCTTTAACTTGGACCTGAAAAAGTTGTTTGCAAGCAATTCCTCAGGATTTTTTCATGTTTCGCCATCTTCTTTGGTATTTATATATCTATTTCTGTATTATATATACTTATTTCTGTATTTATATATTTACATATTCCTTATTGGAACAATTCAGCAACTCTTTCCTCTTCAGCGATTCCTCCCTCCCTTCTGCTCCCACCTCCCTTCAGCAACTCCCAATTCTGGTTTTTTACAGGTTTCTGCATGAAAGCCAACGTATAAAGTATCGTTATTGGAGTCTGGGGTGTCCATCCATTAAAAGCAACAGAGGGATAGGACAGAGGACGTTTCTGGAGCAGCAGTCTGTGGCAGAGACAGCCCATTGAGGTGCCAGGAGGAGGCTGTGAAATGATTGCAGATAATTCTAAGAGAAAAGCAGCAGCTCACATGTACACACACACGTGCACGCACTCAACCAAGCAACTGAAAAAAAAAAAAAAAAGGGCAAAATAAACAGGAAATGCCCATCGATGTTTGGCCTAATTAACAACTGGTTGTAAATAATAAACCACAGCAGCACCACTCTGCAAAATGGATTTAAAAAAAAAAACAACCCAACATTTAGGTCACCCTTTTATTAAGAGGGCTGGAAAACAAAAGCCTCTCCATGAAGTCAACTGGTCAATAACGCGTCAGGTTACCCCTGAAAAGTCCTAATCATGAGAACAGCTCCAAACATCTGCATTTTTCAAGTACCATTTGACAGCATCAGAGGATATTTAGGCTACACCACTAAATCAGCACCCATTTCACTATGTGGGCCACAGGGCTGCCAACAGCTGGCATGTCCACCTGGCTGGGGGAACAGGTCTTTTTTGTCTCTGGGGAAGGGGGGAAACCCTCAATAGCTTTTCAGTCCAATGAGACAATTCCAAATTGTGCTAAAAAATCTGCATGTTGTTCTGTGTAGAGCAACTGCTCCATTAGTACGCCTGAAAAATGGAACATCTTTATGTTCTTGTATCACAGGGACATTTCAAATAGATTGGTGGGCAGCCTCAAGGTGTTATGCTTGGTGATAAGTTGCCATCCACTTAATATTTATTTTCCTATCTTATAATTAAAACACAGACTGGGTTTGGCAATGCTTCTGGAGTCCAAAGCTTCTTCTCTTCTTTCATTAAAGCTGAAGCCTGGCCCTGGTGACAGCTGTGGAACTGGGACTGCTAAGAGGGACTTACTACCCTTCACAAAGGAAATTACCCACTTGGCTTCCTCCCTCATTCTCCTAATTTCTCCTCCCTCCTGATTTCTTGGAAATTAGTCCACCCAGCAGATTGGATTCTGCCTGTTGGCTGGATTTGGTTTTCCCAAGAAATACACCCACAGCCACTGTCCCTGACGTTCTGACCAAACAGAGGCGCCTCACCCCTGGGACTGGGACCTGATAAAGAAGCCCTGACCAGCACCATGCCTTGTGCTGAGCCTCCCACTGGAAAGATCACCCCATCCCCAACAACTTGTTGGCCTTGCTGCTCTACTTCACCCCATTTTCTAGATGCTGTTGTTGAGGGTACAGCTGGAGGACCGCTGCTTGCTCTTGGCATATATAATCCTTCAAATCTCCTCTCTGCTCTTAGGAACTTGTGTCATCTCATCTGCCTTCTGCTCAAGGAGAACTGAATCCAGTCCCGCAGTGCACATCCTGTACAGGCCAGAGATACGGTTTCCGTGCCCTACAGCCTGTCCCACCGGCAGCCCTGTGTCCAGCCAACCCCTCTTTTCCTTGCAAGACATCAGAAGGTTTTTTTTCTGAGATGAGATTGCCCTAAGGGATAAGGCATGACATTGAGCTGGACAGCAGGACGTTGCTGTAATAAAAACGACAGTTCTTTGCTTCTTCTGCTCTGGTTCCCCTTTGCTGTCATTGAGTCATGCTGTAGACACCGTGTACTTCCATCTCTGGTTGTATAAATTTCTTGTGCTATTAAGCAAACGGACTGTCTTTCTGCCTGTCATTCCATTTTCCCTTGTCTATTTTCTATCTCCCTGCATGGACATTGCACCCCGAAGCACAACAGTGAGTGCTTTGCTTCTACTTCCCTTTGGGAGCCTCGGACTGCTTAACCTGTTGCATGCAATACCCCAAAATTGCCAGAACCTGTTCCTTAAAGCAGCCTGAGACTGTGATTGTTTTTACCCCTGTAAATGTGCCATCCAAAGAGCATAATATGCCCAAAAATATGGAATTTACCTACAAACCCAGCTAAAAGAAACTTCGCTGACATGACTCTTGTGTCAAATATTATTTTAACACAGATTTTCTTACCTTCATTACTGCCATCACCTGAAGCTGTTAACAAGGAAGACCGTCCTAGGGCATGAAAAGTCTGACACTGTCTTCACTCCTGAGCTAATGTGACCAGCAGCTGGCTGCAAGGGGACACCCTGCTGAACAAGGTGTTCCCAGTTTGAACCTCCCACTAGAGAAGCTCGTGTCCTCTCTTGGCAGTCATCACGTGTCTTTGATACTACACCACGCTCAGCTGCTCTGGGACTATCCCCCAATGGCTGGAGAAGAAATTTGCTGCTCTGCCATAGCGTTGGGGAGGAACTGTGAGAAGATGCCAGAAGATGAGGAAGGGAGAGGCTCAGCCTGTATCTTAAAATTGTAGAATAATAGAGGTGTAAAGAATCTCTGGAGGTCCCTGCTCCAACCACCCCTCAAAGCACGACCAACTTAGAGCTGGCTTCTCCAGGCCCTGTCCAGCTGAGTTTTGAGTATCTCCAAGGGTGGAGATCCCACAACCTCTTTGGGACCCTGTCGTAGCGTATGAGGCTCTTCATGGTGAAAAAGTTTTTCTTTACATCTAATTCCTCTATCTGATTTTCCTTTCATGCAGTTTGTGTCCATCACATCTCATTTTTTTCACCGTGCACCTCTGAGAAAAGTCTGGCATCATCCTTTCATCAGGTAGTTCAAGGAAGAAATAAGATCCCACCCCAATCCTGCTCTTTCTAAGGTGGAACAAACCCAACTCTCTCAGCCTCTCCTCATGGACATATTTTCCAGTTCCTAATCATCTTGGTGGTCCCCTGCCAGGCTCACTCCACCATGAGTGGGAACTCGAGCTGAGGCAGCCACCCCATTTTAAAAAAGCTACCAAGACCGAATCTGAGTCAAAAGGACTTTACCTCCAGCAAGCTCTGATCCCCTGCCTACGTTCCCCACTTTCTCAGAAGACACACTGCCTGTCCTTGGGCAGTGAACCATTTCTTCCCACCTGCTTGGGCTCAGATCTTCACTCCTGACTGTCTTTTGACTTGTTAGTCAATTGTCCAGGAATGGGGATGGCAGCACATGTGTCTGCGCGTGGGCTCCCCACAAAGTCTGCACATTTCACCTCTTTAACACTCTGTCTCTCCATAAAACTTGACTGCACTCAAATTAAATTTGGCTAGCAACGACTTTGGATAACAAGATGTATTTGGCAGGCAAGAAATATCTCTGCTTTGCATGGAGGCCAGAGTTTGAATACAGAGGGGAAGAAGAGTCAGGAGAGAAAAAATGATCTACTTGCTCTTATTTGGCAGAGGCAGAAACCAGCCCCTTTAAGTCCATCTCTGCCCCTGTGGTTATGAACAGCTCAGTGGAGACTGGGAGTTTGTCTTTACTGTAAACTGGTGGGGTTTCAAATTAGCGGGATCACTGGCACTGGGACGTCCTCAGAGGAGACCTCTATCACCCAATATGGGCAGCAGTAAAGTTCCCACACCCCAGTGCTGCTGCAAACACTGCAAAAATCAGCAAAGATGCAGCTTCCGCTTTGCTCCAGCAAGTTTACAACCGTGCATTAGAAGTTCCCAGGTCTTCTTGTAACCAGGAATGTAGCTAGAGATGTTCTTCTTGGACAAGAGCATGGAGAGGCTCATGCTGGTGGCTTCAGGGCATTCAGCTTGTCAATGTGCTCATCTATGTCCTGCCCCATGCCAAGTCACCCACACTCTGCCCAGGTCCCTATGGTAATGAAGAGTGATGACAGTACCTGCTCTGCCTGTAGGGCTTTCTGGTGATCTCATGATTCATGAGGGCCCAGCACAGAGCCGTGCCCGTTGTCCACCAGAAAAGCCTGGTCTCTTGAGCAACTCTGCACTGACATTGGGGAAAGGGAACAGCTTCACAGAATCACATGGGGTTGGAAGGGACCTCTGGAGATCATCTAGTCCAACTCCCCTGCCAAAGCAGGTCCACCCAGAGCAGGTTGCACAGGAACTTGTCCAGGCGGGTTTTGAATGTCTCTAGAGAAGAAGCCTCCACCCCCTCCCTGGGCAGCCTCTTCCAGGGCTCTGTCACCCTCAAAGTAAAGAAGTTCCCACGTAAGCCTAATCAATATTCTCTTACACTGTAGGATTTTGGCTTTTTTTTTTTTTCCTTTCCCATCTTGTGGTTTTAAACAGTTTAATGCATTAATTTGGAAAAAAAAAACACCAACAAACCCAACAACAGTTACAGGAAAAAAAAATCACAATATTTGCCTAACTCATAAAACCAGGAAACCCTGCAACTCTTTTATCTTCCATTCTGTTCCAGACTATGGTCTGAGCCATATCTCAGACCACAGTTACCACCATGGCATCAGGGCATCCTCCTCCAGATGTACACATCTGCCGCATACCAACAGCTTTACAGAGGCAAAATAAAACACACTTTGAGGCGTTCAGCACGGAGCAGATGGGCTTTGGACCCTGCGAGATGCGGACTCAGAAG